ATCTATCTATCTATCTATCTATCTATCTATCTATCTATCTATCTCTATCTCTGTCTTTCCATCCGTCCATATCCATATAGATACATACACACACACACACACACTTGCACACACATATATTAAAGGTAGTGATTTCTTGGGGATCCTCCAGAGAAGCTGCAGAGGGAGAAAATGGATTGGGGGGGGAGAATAATCAAACAAGCACTCTTCTCCCCCCACCACCCCCGTTTCCAAAACTGTTCCGGAAAGTGGAAATGGCTCTCCTGGGCGCCCCAAGGAAGAAGCCTGAAATGGCCCTTTGAGTCTAACCATGGCAACTCATCCGCCACGCCAGGAAATTTGGCTTCCTCATCAACCCTCCGAAGCTGAGCCATCACCCTCCCAAGGCAAAGCACACACACACACACACACACACCTCTTTTCAAGGTATTTTCAAGGGGGGAGTTACAAAACCTGCCCCAGAGCAGGGAAGACGGATTTCCTGAACTCAGAGCCTGAAGTTTTCCAAGGTTGGAGACAAACCCCTCCGGGCACATAGTGTGTGTGTGTGTTGGGGGTGGGGTTGTCTTGGCTTTGAAGGGCACTAATAAGGGCCCCTCCTTGCACAAGCAGAGTCCGTGAATAAAGGTGGCTGGGCACAAAACCAGAGGGCTCTGCTCATTCATTTCCCTGGGATCTGAGTTCAAATCTTCAGAGAGATGGAAGGAGGTGGGTTGTTTTTTTTCTACCAGTCACTTGGTTGGGGAAATAATCTTGCAAGGGACCTTTAATGCAATAAAATAAGTTGATATCTATCTATATATCTATCTATCTTGTCTATCATCTATCTGACTATTATCTCTATCTACCTACCTAATGTATCTTAGCTAGCTAGCTAGCTATCTTAGCTATCATGTATCTATTTAACTATCATCTCTCTATTTCTATTCTATCTACCTTATCTATCATCTCTCTCAATTCTATCATCTATCTACCTACCTATCTAATGTATCTTATCTAGCTATCCAATCATCTATGTTTTCTTAAGTTTTCGCGGGTACTTACATGTATGGCATTCAGCTTTGTTCGGGTATTTTCCCACGTCATTGTAGTTGTGCTTTTAAAGTTGTAGCAACTTATCATCTCTCTATTATCTCTCTCTCTCATCTACCTACCTACCACCTACCTACCTTATCTATCTTATCTATCTAGCTATCATCTCTCATCTATTAGTTAAATCACCTCTCTGTCTCTCTCTTCTATCTATCTGATCATTTCTCAACTGCACTGCTTTCACAAGTAACTCAAGACAGCAAACCTATCCAACACACCTTCCTCCGATTATTTCCCCACAACAAGCGCCCTGTGAGGTGGGTTTCGCTGAGCGGGAAGGATTGGCCCAAAGTCACCCAGCCGGCTTTCAGGGCTATGATGGGACTAGGAGTCTCTGTCTCCCATTTTCTAGCCCGGGGCCTTCTTCTGCTACACCTCCTTCTACTTCCTCATCTCCCGTCAATTTCAGCGGGGCAGCCCCCAATCTCCTCCTAATAAAATGGGAAGGGGGGGAACCCTGGGGATCCCCACCCACCCCCCACCCCCTTTTCTGTTCTCCTCAACAACCCCTCTCTCCCCCGAGACATGCCCAACATCCTCTGGTGCCGACCATTTAATTGCTGTGGCCGCGACCTCTGAGCCGACTGGATGGGGGGAGAGGAAGCAATTTTATCTGTCGGCAGTAATTAACACGTCTGAACATTTAATTCCCCCGCCGTCCATCTCCCACGGCTCCAGCGGGGTTGTGCCAAAGCCTTTCCTCAACGCCACCTGTTGCCTGGCTGGGACCCTCACCTAGCCTAGCGCAGGGGGTCTCTCACTTTGGCCCCTTTCAGCCTGGCGGACTTCAACTCCCAGAATCCCCCGGCCACAAAATGAGCAGCTTTGTTCCAAGAGCAAAACTGACTGGGGAATTCTGGGAGTTGAAGTCGGCCAGGCTGAAAGGCTACCAATATTCTCCTTTTATTTGGGGTGGGAATTACAGGGCTGGCAAATGGGCCCCCCTCCCACCTCAGAACGGTTCAAATAGAAACCACCAATTATTACTTGGTAATAATTGTGTGTGTGTGGGGGTCTTTTGTGGGAAGAGAAGGCAAAAGTTTCCTGCCCACCGTCTGTTCCCCCAGTCTGGGGACAAATCAAATTGCTTCCCCATAAATCTACATTAGCTCCCGAAAAGGGGCTGGCGGAGGCGGCCGGCAGGACCAGGAGCCCCGGAGGAAATCTATTTCCGAAAGATCCCCCCACCTGGCCGAGGAGCCAAACCAGGTTAAGGCCTCGGTTTCCCTCTGTGCCGAGGCTGGAGCAAGGCCCCTAACTCAATTGGTCCCCTCGCCCACCGCCCCCCCCCGGCTCTCTCCCACCTGCCTCCAGCGCTGGCTAATTAGGTTCCCTCCGAGGGAGGGAGGGAGGCGCCCCCACCCACCCACCCCCCTCAACCCACCGTGGCTGAACCAGCCGAGCCCAGAGCCATGGCCGGAAGGCAGAATTTCTGGGTCTTGAGAGAGAGAGGGAGGGGGGGGCTTACAGGGAGGGGGGGATCTGTGGGGGAAACTGGTGGCAGGTGGGGGGGGGGCAAGCGAAGGCGCAAGAAGGGACCAGAAGACGAAGGGGAAATAAGAGCTTCTTGCACGAGGTTTTGTCTTCCTGCTGTGCCTTCACAATTTGCACACTTGACATGCACAGAGGCCGAGGCCTGGAGTCTCGCTTTCCTGCCTTTATAGCTAACTGGAGATTTGTTTATTTTTTTTTATTCAATTTGTACAGTTCTCAAGTTACGGCTGTTTGCTTAAAGATGGTTCAGACCTATGACGGAGTGAGCGTGGGAGGAAAAGGAAGAAGGAGAAAGGAGGGAGGGAGGGAGGGAGGGAAGAAGGAAGGAAAGAAAGAAGAAAAGAGAGAGAGGAAGGAAGGAAGGAAGAAAAGAGAGAGAAGGAGGGAGGAAGAAAGAAAAGAGAGAGGGAGGGAGGGAGGAAGAAAAGAGAGGGAGGGAAGGAGAAAGGAAAGAAAGAAGAGAGAGAGGAAGGAAGGAAGAAAAGAGAGAGAGGAAGGAAGGAAGGAAGAAACGAGAGAGGGAGGGAGGAAGAAAATAGAGGGAGGGAAGGAAGAAGGAAAGAAAGAAGAAAAGAAAGAGAGAAAGGAAGGAAGAAAAGAGAGGGAGGGAGGGAGGGAGGGAGGAAGGAAGAAAATAGAGGGAGGGAGAGAGGGAAGAAGGAGAGAGAGAGAGAGAGAGGAAGTTGTCGTGGGAGGCGCCTTGCTAACCCCAGGCTAAAGGACAGAATGGGGACTTACCTGCAGGATGTGGCCCCCTAAGTGCTTTTCAAAGAGCTCCGTCAGCAGCCCGTTCATATTTCTCCCACCGGAAGCTGGAGAGAAACCGAGATCTCAAGGTCAGCCAGGAGGATCCAGCGTGGCAGCCGCAACCCCCCCCCAACCCACCCGCCCCGGTGGGCGTCTTGGGGTCACGCAACGGGCAGGATCAGGCTAAGAGGCCTCAAAGCGCCTGTGGCCTCTGCCCGCTTGGCCCTTCCGCCGTTCGATTCAC